TCAATAGAGCCATTCAGGTAAGAAGTATCTTCGACAAGAGACCATAGTGAGGTGTCTCAAGGCAAGGGGTACAAATTCCAAATTATTAATACATATAGTGGTTTCATCCTGTAGCTTGTGTTAGTGTAGCTCCTATTTCAGCAAAACACTGAAGTGCTCTCTAGAAGTAAACCATATGAGTTGTTGCTTTATGAAGCTTGAGGTAATAGTGACAAATAGTTTTACAATTACCAAAAAATGGGTGCCCTGGAAATTGTTTTGGAAAGAGACAGCCATACAGACTATAGAAACAAATAACTGCTGACAGACATATTTTATCTTGTAAAGAGACAGCTGTTAAACAGAACTTTTCCATCATTTGACGAGCTACAAGGATGTTAACTGAAGAAGCGTGTGTCATCTGTACTGAAGGCTGCACACAGCAATACATTAGGACATATTGTTATTTATTTTGTTTATCAGTAGAAACTGAAGACTCCTATATTAATGTTTATCAAACAGTTTTCAACTGCACATCAACACAAAAATCAAAATATTTATAAAAAGCTATTCCTCAGGGAACTTTTGTCAGTACCATCTAGCTTTCAGTAATAACATGCAGTGCCTGAAAAGTCTTTGGGGAAAAACTCGATGGATATCATTAATGAGTCTCTTGCATAATAGCTTGAATTCCAGAAGTCATCTGCAAAGAATGAAACGTAATAAAGCCAGTCCTTACTCCAGAGGGGCCAATATCTCTGCTGAACATGGGCCAGGTTTTCCAGTTAACATCGTGCCGGTACTGCTTATGCACATGCTCTCCCACACCATAAATGTTGCTGCTAGGTAGTTTGATTGATAGCTGTAAAAACTGGTCAGCATACTGCAGTGGTCCTATGGTAGTATCAAACCTGATGAAACAATTTAAAAAAAATAAAAAAGAAAGTATTTTACCAAATTTTGTTGCAGTAATTGTTTCTACTCCTTTTAGTTAGAGCTGGATAGAGGGAGGTAGGACAGTGTGGGGCTGGAGCAGAGCGACCCTTGCACAGACGACAAGATGAACGGTGCCTGTTGATCCTACAGAAACCTCTCGTCCAAGTGGCGCATTGGTTTTGGGGGGTACATTTGCTCTCCCCTCTTCCACCACAGCTTCCCACCCTGCATCTGCTGCACTGAATCCTGAATCCACTCTCTGCAGCCACTCACAGTAACAGGGCAGATGGAAAATTCCCGTGGGTGGACAGAAACACAAAAATAATCCACTCCATCAGATCTTGCAAATCAATAACAGCTTTTGCTTGCCAGCAAAAATGAACAATACCTGCTCTTGAGTCCTGCTCGGCCACAGGGAACGGCAGACTACAGCTACATGCTGGCTCTCGAATAAACCATTTGATGGCTATCACACCTCTGGTAGCAAATTCTGCATAAAGCAACTGCTAAGCTTTCTAAGGAACCTGAAGGTGGTGGTGTTGAAAATAAATACAGAGGCTATTGTATATATCTGTGCAAACAGGACAAGCCCAAGATCAATATTCCTCCTTTACAGCTATTAGCAAAACACACACAGGAAAAGTCAATTTCTATTAATAAAGTTTCCTCTGTTAATTTAATTTTGCACCTTTCACCATTCCCCTTTATTACAGACAAACAATTCATCTTCCAAATAAGAATGACGGGAGCTTTAGGTACTTAAGCAAAACCTGGTTTCACTCCTTGTTTCTGCGGGAAGGACTCGGGAAATGGTGGGGAAATCTGAGCAGTGCTGAGGCCGAGGGCAGCAGGAGGCCGCCCCACTCCTGCTTGCACCGAGGAGCCGCCCCCTCCACGGCAACCGACTCATTTTGTTGCTCTCCTTCCTTTAGCTCTGCTGAGCTCTCACAGCTGGAATGGTCAACCAGACTCTAGACACCCTCGACCAGAAACTTCTCAGGTTGTGACCCCACCTGCGGTCCCCAATGGTGCCAAAAAGGCTTCGTTGGGCATCTTAGGCATCCTCGCTCCTGATGGATGGAGGGGACCATCCGTAGGCATCTTTTTCTACAGCCAGGTGTGTGCCCACAACGCCACCAAAACGTGGTCATTTTCCGTCATGTGACAAGAACGCTGGGATTGTGGTCATGTTAATTTTAGAGTTAAACCAGATTGAAAGCAGTGAGAAATTGAAAGAAGCTGATCCTCAGATTTGAAGGTTATCTTCAGCTTCACTAAAGCAAGAGCTTAGAGGGATCTGGAGAAACACAGTCCTTCCCCAAAAGCAGAGAAAATGACTTACTTTCAGATGGCAAACTACCTTGGTATGTATTAACATCATACACAATTTCAAAGGAACATGCTTTTATCTCCTCACTTTATGTAGTTTTAATTAGAATCTCTTTCTACAATTGTATTTTCCTGTGATTTTTGTGACATTTCACAGTCATGATATTCGTATAGGGGAGAGTAACACAACTTTCTCTTGACTTATGCAAACACAGCCACATTAATTTTAAGGGACTTTATCACTTCAGATGTATTAGTACACTATGAGTACATTTAGCACGATGAGTATATCACTATCACTAAAATCTTTGAGGCATAAAGATGTCCTTAAACTATTAAATACACAGTGCATTAGTAATTACAAACACTGCAGAAACAAGAGACAGAAACAGGGGAGTTCGGACTTGCTACAATTTTAAGCTGCTCATATTTTTTTAAAGTTAAAAATACTAACACTTAATGGAGACTTCATAGGCCAAATCCTCATCTGATGTATTTCTGTCCATTTTCATTAATTCCAAGGACTATCTTGCCCATCTGCTCACAAACTGTCCTGAAACTAGCTTTTTTTTGGAGAGGAAGGTCTGCATTTCTGATGAAACTATGGAAATCTTCCAGGTTTTCTTGCAAATGATGATAGTAATAGACCAATCAGAACTCTAACTCTTTTGAGGCTCTCAAGTCCCACAAACAATGATGGAAGGTCATAGGCTTTAAAACAGGATTTTTGTAATGAACTGCAGTAACACATTCATCCTCAATCTTTACTTT